TCAGTCGTTGGCAAAACTTTATATGACCACTAAGGGAGAAGGCTAAGGGACGAACTGATCCGATTCTAACCATATTTGACATACGGCTATACAGTGCAGGAAAGTATTTTTTCGGTCTAGGAACTTGGGTCCATATATACGGTATCTGGGTGCTTGAATAGTTGAAATGACAATTTTTGGTCATTGTGTAGCACATCTTAAAGGCACTATTCATACAAAGTTTAATCTCGATGCATTCATTGGTGTTTGATTTGTATACTGGAAGTGAAAGAGTCAGATGGAATTTAAAATTCCGTTATATAGAAAGCAGTCGTGTTATCCGATTTCGTCCATTTTTGCACTGACATAAGAATGTCAAAATAATTTTATGCATCAAATTTAGTTGAAATTGGTCGAGCAGATCCCGAAGCATGGGTTTTCATCTAAATATGGGCAGTGCTACGCCAATTGTCCAATTATGAAATAAGCTCTTGTAAAGCTTGTTTGTGTCATCTGGGTTTAGTATCTCTGACGCTTTTGTTTATTGAGTTATCGAACTTTTAGTAGTTTTCATCGTAACTGTTATATGGGGAGTTAGCATGGTTATAATCCGATTTCAACCATTTTAAACTGTCGAAGAGATGCTTAAAAAGTTTATGCTGAGCATGTTTCGTTGGTTTAGCTTATTTGATTTGGGAGATATGTACATTAAACCTATTAGGGCGCGGGGTCCCGGCCACTTTTTAAAAATTTTCAAACCAAAGTTTCCTCCCTCCCCAGTAATCCTCTGCATTAAATTACAGTTTTGTATCTTAGCTTAGTTTAGCACTTTATATGTTTTCGATCAATGTCGTTTTGTGGGCATGGCAATGGTTCAGGTCTGCTCATCCAATACCAATGCTCCTTTGGTGTCATGGATCATACATATGTATCAAGTTTCACCAAGATATCTCAATTTTTACTCAAGTTATCGCTTGAACGGACGGACAAACAGACGGAAGGACAGACAGTCACTCAGATTTCAACTCGTCTCGTCATCGTGATCATTTATACATCTATGCATAGTTCGATATATATCTCGATTAGTTTTAAGTGACACAACCAACCGTTAGGTGAAAAAAACTTTTATACTCTGCAGCAACATGTTGCAAGAGTATAATTAAATGGCCATCTTCCAGTTAGTACTCGTCTACAGTCGAACTTCTCAATTAAGAACTTTTGTACAATGAAATTCACTGTATACTGAATTAATTTATGGAACACTGCAATTTCATTGAATTTTCTGTAGATACATATATTTCGCATTCATTATAATGAATTCCCTTAAAAGGAATTTTTTAATATCCCTATAACGATATACACTATTATATTTGTATATATTTTATACAAGAAAGGGCAAAAATTTTTTTAGGGAAGTTCTGATAATTTTATAATAAGAAATAATATGTGTTACAGAATGTCACTACAACTGTAAAAAAAAAACCTAAAACTTGGGAGCCAAACAGGGTTAGATCGCTGATAAAACAGCCCTTGGATGGGGTCGGAAAAGCGTCACAAATTCTTAGAATGTACATTATGAGTTCAACAAAAAAGCATGGATGACATGCGGAATTTAATTAAAAATGGATTTTGATGAAACTGGACAAAAAGTTCAAAAAAAAAAATATTATTATCAAATTTGTGCGATGAATAAGGCTATGACTACAGGTTTTTTGGTCGACCTTCAGAGTATTAGAAAATATAAATACCTTGATGAAAGAGTCTGCACTATGGGAACCCCTTCAGACGAAAATATTCTGCAAATTGTTATGGAAAATACTGAAGTTCCAGATATTTCAAGTCTTATACCTTCTAAATGATTGCCAAAAAATTTATAGTGTATTAGGAGTTGTATGTAACGAAGTTTTCTCGCCTTTGCCTAAATATAATCAAACTATATCCGTTTATATTTTTTAAACGGTTAGGTTTACGAAAAAATTATGAGAAACTTTTTTGTAGAGCATTCAATTTCACACAAAATCTATGAAACGAAGTATGTTTTCGAGTAATTGGAAGCGAGGTTTGAATTTTTCTATCTGATAATAAGAAAGAAATTGAAAACTGTATTGCGGAGGAACTTCCCGTTACAATTAAGAGTTCATAGTTGGAGAGACTTTCTTAGAGGTGTCTAAGAATCTATTTTTCAGAGTACAAATAAAAAGATCGTTTTTTTATCCACCCAAATGTATATCTAAGAAATATATGAATAAAATATTCGCTTTTGTTTTAAAAAGCAAATAAAATAACACATATGTATGTATAAATAATATGTATGGCACTATATATTTGTTAGAAATATGTATGTACATATGTACAAGTATATGCACTTCAACAACCCTCCGAGCTTTACTTTGATATAAATAAAATAAATCACAGGATACCTCAGAATTTGAAATACAGTCGCCATTGCACCGACTTTCTTTCATTTTACACAAACACACACGCGCACGCACACATCACACTGTAAACTACTCACAAACCGGAGCGCCCACAATCCGCCCATTATATAATGTAGGTTCCTCCGCCATCCCACGATACTCATTATCATGAGCAACAACAAATTTTAACAGTCACATATTGTGCCATTTGCATTGTTGTACCCCTTCAAAACGTTGCTTGGTATTGGTTGCTTGACTTGTGTGCCAATTTGTATGTGTGTGTGTGTGTTGATCAGTGCGACTGCCGCCATGCGAACCAGCAACAAAACGGCAACAGAAACACAAGTTCTGCATTGCCGAGAGAGAGGGTACTGTCAGAGTACGGCCAAAGCGTTGGCAAAGCTTTTGGTTGGCTACTACAACTGCTGCTGTTGCTGCTGCTGCTGCTGCTTTACCTCTACCACTACTACTACTAATACTCGTTTGCTGACAGCAAATGTTGCTGTTGTCGCTGTTACTTTTCTCTTCAGGCAGCTAAACAATCAATTGACTGAGTGTTGGTGTTGGGAGGGCAACAAGCCCTTGGTATGTACATTTTCAAGTTGAAAGCAGCGTGGAAATCGAACAAAAACATAATGCCCAGAGAGGAGCAAGAAGTAACAGAAACACATGAGAAACTTGTTAGAGAACTATATTCGGTATAAAAGACATTTTGAATGACTTAGAATTTTTTTTTTGTAATCGTTGCCTAATTTATTGAACTAAGAATATTGAGAGAATTTTGAATTGAAAGTATTTTCCTGTTTTGATAATATTTGCTTATTTGGATTTATTTCTATTGATTGTTTGAAACACATTTTTAAGGTTGTATACAAACGAATTTATTATTTAAATAGAAAATAAATGTAAATGTATTGGTTGCAGTTTATGGTTTGGGACAGTTTAAGATTTGAAAAAATTATTTTGTTTGCTTAACGTACACTTTGGTGTTCTAAAATATTGTTCAGTTGGCAAAATAATGAAAGAAGACCATCTGTCCAACACGCCGTAGAGTCGAAGAGTTTGGGTAAGTCAGCCCAGCATGTAAAACGTTTGGCACATTAATGGACTTAATGTTTCAAGAAACTACTTATTGGAAAAATTAGAGTATTTATGGGTCTCACCGATTACGGGGTTGTAAACAATGTATATACATAAATTTAAATATTTTTTTTATTTCGTAATTTCGAAAATCCTAATTAAAAATAATTTTTAAATTTCTTATCCCTAATACCACAATGTGTCTTTTGTGTTCCACCATCTTGGTTATATTTGCAAATGGAAAGACTTTTTTTAATAAACATTTAAAATTTTTACTCTCCACCTTATTTAATTTTAATTATATTAGTGCTTCAAAACATATGTACAATAATCTATGCCAAGTTTTGTGAAGATATCTTGTCAACCAAAAACTATATCCATATAGTGACTTGATTTTGATCAATCCCAACAACTGAGGGACTAGTTCACGTATATACATATGCACAGACATGACTAAACCGATCATATATAAATGTATATAAAAACTTCCAAAGCCGCAAAAATATTTTACTTCTAAGGTTCAACGTAATCACCGTCCAGCTCGTCCAATGGTTTATTGGCGACTCTCCTATAAAGGCGTTAAATCTCTTCACTTCTCTGAAAAAGAGGTTAAAACTGGAGCAAAAGGGTACCAGCAGAATGATTTAGAAGCCGTGGTAAAGCATTTAAACAATACAAAACGAGTCGCAATTTTCATTTCACATTTTGAGAACATAGTTTTCAACAGTTTTACTAACCATATATCAAATAAAAAAATAAATTTTAGAACTTCGAGTCCTATTTTTCTCTTTAAACAGAATGACAGTAAACCAACCAATGTAATCGGCAATTTTAGTTTCATTTAAGAAGTCATGCACATAAATCTGGAGGAATATTCCACTTGTGTGTACCAAGTGCCGTATTATCATGCTATGCAATGAATTTGATTTATTATCTTTCCATACTAAAGTTCAATTTTAGTACAATATTACCAAAATATCAAAGTCTTGGTCGATAGACTGTAGCGTACCCGCATTACAATAAAAGAAATCGCAACGCCAATGTCGACGAGTATAAGAGACGACAACAACAAAGAACGCTCTTTAATTTATATACTCCCAGAATTGTAAATGGTTATGCACATATGTAATCATGTACATATACATATATTGCGCGAGACACACATACATACATAGATATGTACAAATGCGATTATAATATAAGGTGAGCATGCCGACGACAGAGGTGCAACCGACTGAGTGAGCAACTTTGTATACAGTGCCCAAAAACTCGAATTTGGAAACTTTTTTAATTACACGCCCGTCCGTCCGGCAGCCAGCCAGCTGTGCCAGCAGACTACTCCAGCACCGTCTCCGTCACCAGCTCTACTGCCAAGCATTGCTGTCGTTTCGGCTTTGCTGTTGCCATTGCACAAAGTTGGTGATTGCCGCTGCTGCTGCTGCTGCGACTCATTGTTGTTGCTGCTGTTACAGTTGCGGTGGTTGTTGCACAGTATGTAGCAGCCAAGAAGAAACTCCGTTGACAGCCGCAAGCGCGAGGGTAGGAGCAGGCGGTTGCCATTTCAACCCTCGTACGCCACATTTACACGCTCGCTTACTCGCTCGCTCACTCACTCACACGCTTTCCAATCGCATGTATGTATGCATGTATATGTGCATATTGAATTATTTTTGCCTTTAGCCAAAAGTAACTGTGTGTGAATGGCGGACTGACTGGTTGCCTGCGAAGGCGCAGCGCTTTCTTGCTTGATGCTTGTTTGGTGCGTTGGTTGGTTGGTTGGTTGATGGACTCAATGACTGGGGGCTTCGTCGGTGCTTGGCAAAGTTGATTCAGTTTCAATTGAGTATCCGTCGTGTAACAACGTCGAAACGGTGGCAACGCGCGGCAATGTGCAACAAACCGTAATTGTAAAAGGCAGTCAGTGGTTTGTGTGCGTGCAAAAAAAGAAAACAACAAAAGCTACATGACAGTTTTTATAACAAAAGAAAACTAAACAAATGTGTTTATTTGTTAAATAAAATAGATAAAACTATTGTGTTGTTGCAATAAAAATGAATTAAAAATGTTGCAGTGTTGCCAGTGAATGAAAAAGAAAGAGTTATAAATTTATTAACTACTTCCAACACATACATTTGAATATGTTTTATTAAAAACTTTTGAAAAGTGCTGTATTTTAATTAAATAATTGCTGTGCATATTTCCATTGCCAACAATTTGACTTTGCTTCAGTGTCGCCTGCAACATGAGTTTACCCACCGGCGTGGATATGCAGAATTTAATGTCACAACATCCAGTTTTAGGCGCTTTGCCACCCGCCTTCTTTCTACGCGCCGCCTCTGAGCGCTACCAGCGGACACCGAAATGTGCGCGTTGTCGCAATCATGGCGTGGTGGGTGTTTTCTTTTATTTTTGTCAGTAAAAATATTATATTTTAGAATATTGTATTCAAACATTTTTCAATTTAAAATATTGATGTTTGAAAAAGCATGCGTCCATTTTTGGATACCTTAGAGACTGTTTTTCTTATTATGTAGAGTGTAGTTAAATATTTTCAAAATCGCTTTGGAAAGTAATACGGAAATTTTAGTTGTTTTAGCATAGAAATAAGTATTTTTAGCAATATTTTTGCATTTAGTTCCAAATTTCATTGCTATAAATTGATTTTAGGCTACATATCTTCTCTATAAATTAAACTTTTAAATCAAAGTTATGATATTTGCGCATGAAGCTTATTTTTTTAAACACATTAATGTTGCACATATAAATTTCAATACCTTAAATAAATGTAATACTATCATTTTTTAACTTCTTTTATTTATTTTGCGTTTAATTACAAAAGGCTCTCTGCACTCAAATCTACATTAACCTTTAAATGTTATGTACGATATACAAAAATATCTTTTAGAACTTAATTAAATATATCTTTACATAGATGTGTATGAAATACTTTTAAAATGTGAATCTTATAGCCTATAATGCCGTTTTACTAGTAAAATCGCTTATTTTCTCCCAATTATAATAAATCTTTTTCTAGAAGTTTTTAACGTTTTTGTGTATGAAAATGGAACAACATTTTTTTATAATTTTTTCTCGATTCTTATATATGATATCAAATCACATCACAGCCTAAAACAAGGCGGGAATAAAAAAATGGACTCTATCAATTGTTTTAAAATTTTTGAATACACAGCTAAGTTTTTTAGCAAAAAATTTAAATATTTTTCGAGTTACACGCGATCACCGCCGGCGCTAAACAAGCTCCTCCAGTGATTCCGGTCTTCTGCGTGCATGAAAGCTAAAAAACAAATTCTCAACTAAATGAAATAAAATCAAAAATTGAGAAAATGGCTGCGTTTAAAAATATATTGAATTTTCCACAACATTTTGGTATTTTTGATGTACCAGAATTCAATTTTTGATAAGACCAGATAACTAGTAGGTCATTGTATAGAGAAATATATGCAGAAAATATTTGATAGTGATCATAACATTTGCATCCAAATAGTCACTCAAATTTATAAATGTAGTTTTGAGAAAAACTCGTTTAAAAATAAACTGATAGAGCACATTTAACTGAGCCGCTACACTTAAGAAGGCTGTAGTTCAAAAACTGTTTTAGATATCGATTTAAAATTTTGGTATGATATTTTGAATTATGTAATATATCGATAAATATGAAACATCTAGTTTTGTTTTTCTGATTACACATTAGGTGTGTCCCTTAGTACATACCATGTACTATACGAACGATACATTTTTTTTTGGACATTTGCAATTTTATAATATTTATATTCCTTAAAACTAACGACTATAGGGATTTTAAAGTTAGACTAGTCCAAAAATAATGTGAAAATGTAGTTAAAAAAATTATATTGTGCTACAATTAATAAATATATTAAGATTACATTTTCTTTCTACCAGTAGCCATAAATTAAGTTCAACTGCTATTTAAATGTCAATTACATAAAAAAATAAAATTGTTAACACATGTATCTCTATCAAAAAATCACTCATAAAAAATTTCTATATCATTTTGCAGGTTAGCGCCCTCAAAGGACACAAGCGTTATTGCCGTTGGCGTGATTGTGTGTGTGCGAAATGCACTTTGATTGCGGAGCGACAACGCGTTATGGCCGCACAGGTACGCATTAAGGTCGATTCACAACTAACAGCACGGAACGATGCGTTACAATACTTTAGAAACTGCTATCAAGTAAATGAAATCTAACAACAAAACTAAAAACAAAAACAAAAAAGAAACATACAACAACAAAAAACTCATAGTAGCAATAAAATTCGCACTCAGCGGCAGCGGAGTGCAATAAAAGCAGACAATTTAGGAAAATTCGTGTAATGAAATAAAAAAGATTGATTGATTAAAAAAACAAACATTCGAAATATTTGAAAATTAATGAGAAATATTGCACTAATTGCAAGCAAGGCAGCGGCCGGATTACAAAAAAAAAACAACGTATTGCTGTTTCGAAATTTCTGAAATCGAATCCCATTTTAAAAATGTAAATGCAACTCTGTCACTATTTGCTCAAAGTGCTTTAGACTAAGGGAAAACAGTATATCTCATATTATTTCAATAAATTGAAGAAAATTAATGAAAGAGAATATTCTCAATGGTTTGAAGACACATTAATGATAGGCAATTCAATTTAGTAATTTCTTGAATAAAATATGAAAATTAAACAGGTCAAGTAATATACTCAAAGTTTCTGAAAACTGAGTTAAGCTATTTTTCCTAGAAAACGTAGATTATTAAACTTAAAAATTGTTTTTCAAATTTTGTTAAGCATTTAATTGTTCGCAACTGTGTTGTGCTGTCTCGTGTCGTGCTGTGCCCTGCCCATGGGTGTGAATCTTTGTATATAAATATATGTCTGTAGTTTAGAAATCTTTCAAACTCTATTAGACTAAACTAAAACGTCTAAACAACTCATAATTGCAACAACACTCACCTGCTTTTCTTTTTCACGCTTCCGCTGCAGGTTGCGTTGCGTCGCCAACAAGCGCAGGAGGAGAACGAGGCACGCGAATTGGGTCTACTCTACACCAATGTGCCGCCGGGCCAGTCCAATGGCGTGGATGGCGGCGGCGGCAGCGGTGGCGGTGGTGTGGTCACACCAAATCAGCACAGTCCCGCGCCACCGATGACCAATGCCACCGCTTTTCATCCCGGCATACCGTCACCGCCCAGCGACGGCTTGGACACCAGCAACGGTCAGCGCATACAGTATAACGGCAATGAATCAGACACTGATGTGCGTATGCGTTCGTCGGAGCGACTATCAATGGGTTATTCGCCAGATCGCAGTACCGAGGTGGAGAGTCCAGGTGAGTGTGCGCTGCAATGAAGCAGCAGCGTTAAAATACAACAAATCTCGGCACAAAATGTTGAGAGGAGGCAGAGCAAAGCGAGTGTGTGTGTAGGTGGTTGTGTTGTGAGTGGCGCGCGGTGTTGCACATTTGAAGACGCTTTCGTCTCGTTGATTTTGTGCTGATGTTGTTCGATGTGTTGCCGCTGTTGTTGCACTTAAGCGATGAAGTGTGTTTGCGCGCACTTTGGCGACTTCCGCGCAAGAACACCGTTAAAAGTGCGGAAAAATTACAACGAACGTCTGTTTAAAATGTGCAAAAGGCGGCTTGAACACGCAGTTAGCGCATTGATGGAAGTGCAACGATGCGTTGAGTGTTTAGTCGAGTGGGTGGTTAAGTCGTGCGTTGCTGTGTAGGTGTGTGCGTGGGCGGTTTTCGCTGCAATTGGCGCGGTGTGTGTGGGAGCTTTGGAAAGAGTATTTGCACATGAAATGCGAAAAGTGACAAAATTAAGAGAAAAGTTAATGATTTGTTTATTGTCGTTGCGCAGTTTACGAAAGTAGTGCGAAAACGTGTTTATTTATTTAACTATGAACGCGATGGGAGTTTTCGGTGAGTAAAGATATTAGCGAACTGAAATTGTAGTTTTCATGTTATTAGAAAATTTTGATAAGCAAAAAATTTTGGGAAAGAAGTTTATTTGATCATATATTTCTATAATTTGAACAAAATTTTATAGATAAGAAAGTTTCTGCTGTTTATAATGGTAGCTCGGTACAATGTGAAGACCTAGAATAAAAACTATTTATATATTTCGATAAATGAAAGCTTTTGTGAATATCTATTCGTATATACAAATATATGACACTCGCTAAACTTGCTCCAAAGATCTTTTAGGCTTTAATACATTTATTTTTACTCATATTTAATCGCCCAGCCAGCGTTGTCGTAATAAAACTTATATCGATACCATTAGTTAAACGGACTTTTTAATATTTTTAATTAATCAGTAGATAACGCTGCATGTAAGAGTAAAATGTAAAATTCGGTTATTTTTTGAACACAAACACACATCGCATATTTAGAAAGCTTTTTAATTTCTGGTTTAAATTTTCGTAAATAAAATAATATCGAATTTCATAATTTTTTTCTAGTATATATTATATATATGTACTTTAAGACTATTTGAATACCTTTGAAATCACATTTGAATATGCAGTATGTGTCTGTCCATATGTGAAAAGTTGTTAAAATTTGGATATATTAAAGAAACTTGATACAAGAGTTTCATAGCACACTGAGCAGGTTGGTATTGGGAGAGCGCAGAAACTGACTGTTAATACGCCCAGAAAAATTTTTTTCTGTGTCGAAAATTAACTACTATAACATGCATAACATGTCATAGTATCTCACTGATTTTTTAATTTTTAGAGAGTGCTTCATACCTATAATTTTAAAAATTTACCTAGTAGCTTGGCACCACCTGTTTCGAGACGAAGATTGTAGACGAATCTCTCAAGTTACTCAACCGAATTGAAACAATGATCGAGTTTGATCAATCCATAAGTTCGAGAATTGATTAGAGTAATTAAATTTGCCCCAAAGTTTGCAACAAACAGACTAAATCATCGGAGACCATGTAACATAATATATGTATATATAAATAATCAGCGTGACGTGACGAGCTGAATCAATGTAGCCATGTCCGTCTGTCTGCATATCAGCGAACTTGTCCCTCAGCTTTTGAGTTATCCATCACAAGTCCTATTTGCCCCAGGAAGCTGCTTATTTGTCGGAACCGCAGATATCGGACCACTATAAAATATAGCTGCCATAAAAACTGATCGATCAACAACAAGTTATTGTATGGATAACTCTTTTATGTGATTACCGTCCAACACTACAACCTCTTAATAATTTTTTAGATCGGACTCCTATATCATATAACTCAAATTCAAACTGGCTGATCGATCAAAATCAAGTTCCTGTATGATAGACAGTTTTATTTGTGAAAAGTATTAAAGTTTCAGGCGAAGTTAACACTTTTGCTGGCTTTAAATCAAAAACATGTACATATGTATTTAGCAATCCTAACATTGTTCAAATTTTAGAGACTATTATATATGTGGTCCACTCAATTGAAGTAAATAACTTTTTATGATAAAATAATGTTATCCA